GCAGAGCAGGGCGGGGCGGCCCCGGGGTGCTTTTCCCGGTGTCTCTACGGATGACAGCGCAGTGCCACCCTCGGCCCACTTCGGCCACTACCGGCCGAGCGGCACCATGGGCCTGCGGAGCCGCTCTGTGAGCTCCGTTGCCGGAATGGGTATCGAGCACAGTCCCGCCGTGCCCTTCGGCTTCTACACTCCAAGGGGTACGGACTCGGATCGAGTTGGAGGGGGGTCAGGGGGCACGACAGCCGCCCCCCACGGTACTGGCTACCAGGACACTGGGGTTGGAGGACACCACACGGACGGGGTGCTGTATCTGGGGTCCCGGGGGTCGCTGGCTGACACCTTGCCCCTGCACATCGCACCCCGCTGGTTCAACGCGCACAGTGGTAAGGGCGGACTACTCTGTGCACACACAATAGGGAAGAATTAGGGTGATGGATCAGTCATTAGAGAAAACCACACACAAATGCATCAGCTCATTCAGAGACACCTACATGCACACCTTGTTTGCCTGCAGGTAGGAATGACACCAGCTGTGTCATTAAATTTCACTACTATGTGGGGAAGTTCAACCCAGCCTGAGGGAGCAAGAAACAGAGAGTCAGAGAACAGAAAAAGCCAGCTAACCCGAGTGTAAAACAATAGGTTTCCCCCAGGTTCTTACCCTATGTTGGCTGAGGTGGATCAGATCCACAGCAAAAAAACACTGAGGCCTTGGACAGATATCACTTTTTCCATGCATATGACATTTCTCTGCAGGAAAACTTTTATTACAGCATCAGTTTAAAAAAAGAGGTACAGTCAAACACATTTAGTCAAACAGTTGGATATAGCTGCTGTTAATAGGTAAAGTTTTAAACTGAGGGAAATATGTTTGCACTGTTTGTGTGTGCGGGTGAGAAATTTGGATTTGGTGAACATAACGCTGCAGGTGTGCTCCATCTTGACTGTCACCTCTGCACCATCGGCATAGGTCTCCTTGTTTTGTGAGATAACAGTAATATGCTTGTTGCACAAATCTGGCTGAGTCAATTAGCGCCATGATTAGGGAGAAGGAGCGAGGAGGAGGAGGGATGGAAGGAGGTGAAGGAAGAAAAGAAGAAGGGAGGGAAAGGAGGGAGAGAAGGGTTTAGGGGTTTGTTCATGCTTTATAACACATACTACTCGCACCACAATATGTTTCTGTGGGACACTGAACCTGTCAGGCCATCAAGTACATCCACACACCTGCACTTGAACATGCACACAAACACGCATATGTAATTATACACTTGCACACAAACAATTCCTTAACCACATCTGGTTCCCTTCCAATAGCATATAGAGAAACACACAAACACTCAGCAGTAAAGTCCTTAAGGAAGATTACAGACACACACTGTCTCTCTTTCTCTCCCTCTGTCTTTTTCTCACTCAGTCACTCACTCACTTACTCACACACACACACAAAAACACACAGCAGGCTCAGCCAGGTCTCCAGGCTCTCATTACCAAAGCCCTGACCAGCTCACAGCAGGAGGATAGGAAGTTGGACGTCAACATCTTGGCTGTTTTTCCTTGCCTATATTGCCTAGCGACTCAGATGTGCTTTCATATCAGTGGGAGGAGATAACAGGGCTGGGGTGGGGAGGTGGGGGGTGAAGGTGCACTTGTCAGAAAGACAGGCTGAAGACAGGCCTTTAAGAAACAGTCAAAATACAGAAAACACTAGTGTTTTCATATCTAAATCACCTTCTTTTGGGGTGCTCTACCACTGTATGATTTTTTCATATGGGTGTGGTCAGCAGCTATAGTTTGTTGTGGCTAAAAAGGTTAGGCTAGTAGCGGCCACATTTAGGAACTCATAGCTATTGAGGCTAGCAGGAAACAAAACAAGGAACGGCATATTTAAATGTTCAAGAGCACTGAATAGCAGGCTTTAGAGGTGCTGCTAATGCTGCACATGTCAGTCAGTCTCAGTCTCAAGAACACATAAAAAAAAAAACCATAAGGGTGAATGACAAGAGCTGGGGCGAGACCGTCTGAGGGGGGAAGAGGGCAGAACTGACAGTACTCTTGTCTCTGTGAGAAAAGTTGCAGCTTCAATCTGTTGTTTTATCTCTGGTTGCACACAAGCTTACAAGATAGCAGCCTACAGTATCTAATGAAGGTCACTCTGATCAAAATGTCACATCTTTAATGCTATAATAAAAAACTGGTTGCTATAGTAGGGATATTTGCCCCTTTTCTTCAACCTAGACCTCTGCACCTGTTACTTAGCATGACCTTTCATTTCACTTATAACTCCAGCAGATGTGTTTCTCTGACAGGGGTTTTCTGGTGGTGAATGAAATGTTTTTGGAAACATGGATGCCTTTAGGCTCCAGAGTCCTCATTTACTTTAGCAAGACCACTGCTTTAGCATAGTGGGGTGTCACTGTAAAGGGCTCTGGCAAGACAACAAGAAAATCCTGGTTTATGTTTACCTGTAGCACAGAACATTGTTTTCCAGCAACACAATGTGTCAGCCAGTCCAGTAAGTTAAACTGAAAGCTACTCTACCTAATTCCTTTTCAACTGCTAGAGGGTCTAGTGAGACTTAAAACAAACTCAAATCAGAAACCACACCTTACTGCTCTTTGCCCCTTGTGTGGATCATATGACCATGCTATGTCACTAATCTCACCCAAACAAACAGGTTAGCTTTAGATGCTAACACATTTTGAAGGAAGAATGAAGCAAATTTGAGTCTTTTGGCTGCTTTTAACATTCTCCATCCCAAAAACCAAATTGATGTTAACCCTGGGTTTTGCTCTTTATTTGTCACACTCTCTCTGTGCAAAAGAACATTACTTCTTCATTCCAGCAGTAAGTGTTTGAGACGTGTAGGTGCCAAGAGGTCCCCCATGGCTGGCTGTTTGAAATGACTGAAGAGAAGCATGAATGTCTTTGAAGAGCTGAACATTTTAATACATGAAAGAGCTGAAAGTATGCTGAAGTAGAATTTCCCCATTCATTTGAATGGGGCAAGACTTTCAAAATAAAGCTATATATTTCAAAGGTATAAGGTTTACAAAAATCCTTAAGACAAGCATGAATGTCCTTGACAAGCTGAACATTTTGATAGCTGAAATAATTTTCCCATTCATTTGAATGGGTCAAGATTTTCAAAATAAAAGGTAAATATTTTAAAAGTATGCAGTTTAGAAAACTTCTGAACAGAAGCATGAATATCCTTGATGAGCTGAACATTCTGATAGCTGAAATAGCTAAAAGTATACAGAAGTAGAATTGTCCCATTCATTTGAATGGGGCAAGATTTTCAAAATGAAGCTGAATATTTTAAAAGTATGAAGTTTTTTAAAATTCTGAAAACAACCATGAATGTCCTTGAAGAGCTGGACATTTTGATAGCTGAAAGAATTTTCCCATTCATTTGAATGGGGCAAAACTTTCAAAATAAAGCTAAATATTTCAAAATTATGAAGTTTAGAAAACCTCTGAATAGAAGCATGTCTGAGGACAAGCACCCATGTCCTTGAAAAGCTGAACATTTGGACACCTGAATGGCCTTTCTAGGTGAAAGTATGCTGGACTTATTATGTGCTAAAAACAGTGGAAGAAGCCATAATAATAACTAGAGAAATGCATTTCCTGTCAAAAATGTGTGTGAATGCTGTGTGCTAAAGGATCGCCCTGAAAATGATGAACATTTTGACACCTGGAAGGCATATCTACCTGAAAGTATGCAGAAGTAGAATTTTTCCATTCATTTGAATGAGGAATATTTTTCAAAATAAAGCTAAATATTTTAAAAGTATGAAGTTTAGGGAAATTTTGAATAGAAGCATGACTGTCCTTGAAGAGCTGAACATTTTCATACCTGAAAGTATGCTGAAGTAGAATTTTCCCATTCTTTTGAATGGGGCACAATTTTCAAAATAATGCTAAATATTTCAAAAGCATGAAGTTTAGAAAAATTCTGAATAGGAGCATGAATGTCTTTGAAGAGCTGAACATTTTGATAGCTGAAATAGCTCAAGGTATGTAATTTTCCCATTCATGTGAATGGGGCAAGATTTTCTAAATAAAGGTAAATATTTTAAAAGTATGAAGTTTAGAAAGATTGTGAAGAGAAGCATGAATATTCTTGAAGAGCGGAACATTTTGATACCTGAAATAGCTGAAAGTATGTAGAAGTAAAATTTTCCCATTCATTTGAATGGGGCAAGATTTTCAAAATAAAGCTAAGTATTTTAAATGTATGAAGTTTAGAAAACTTCTGAAGAGAAGCATGAATGTCCTTGAAGAGTTGAACATTTTGATACCTGAAATAGCTGAAAGTATGAAGAAGTAAAATTTCCCATTCATTTGAATGGGGCAAAATTTTTAGAATAAAGCTGAATAGTTCAAAATGTATAAAAGTTTAAAAAAAAGTTGTATACATCCGCGCATGTCCTGAAAAAGCTGAACGTTTTGATACCTGAATGGTTTTTCTAGCCGAAAGTATGCGGAACTAGTAAAGGGCCAAAAAACGTACGAAAGAATAATAACTACAAAAATGCATTTCCTGAAGAAAATGTGTGTGGGCGCGAGCTTGGTAATGCATTGCTTTGAAAATGCCCAAAATCAATAGCCAAAACGGCAGAAAGATGACAAGAAATGGCTGAAGTTCTTTGTTGAAATAGTTGAGAAGAATCGGCTGAAGTTCTTTTTTGAATTATCTGAAGGATGAGATGA